AACAAACAGGAGTTTGTTGACGCTATATCCCTCAGATATGGATGGGCAATTGATGGGCTCCAACAACAATGCACCTGTGGCTCATCCTTTGACCCAAACCACGCAATGACCTGCAAGACGGGTGGCTTCGTCTGCATGCGTCATGACGAAGTGAGGGACGTGACAGCCCAAATGCTGGGCGAGGTCAGCCGAGATGTCAGGGTCGAGCCATCCCTCATTCCCACGGCGGGGCGGAACTTCTCGCTCCAATCAACAAACACCGCCGATGATGCCCGCCTGGACGTGAGTGCCAATGGATTCTGGGTACGGGGGCAGCGAGCCTTCTTTGACATCAGGATCTTCAACCCGATGGCAGCAAGCAACCGCACCCAAGAACTAAAATCGGCCCACGCCAAACATGAGAAGGAGAAGATGAGGGAATACGGCGAACGAATACGAGAGGTGGAGCAAGGAACTTTTACCCCCCTCGTATTCACCACCACCGGAGGCATGGCACCGAAAGCCATCACCTTCTATTCGTATCTCGCACAGCAGCTTGCAGAAAGAAGGCAACAACCAAAAAGCTGCGTCTTGGCATGGATGAGGTGCCGACTGGCCTTCTCGCTGCTCCGCTCATCGTTACTCTGCCTCAGGGGGACAAGGACCAAACCAAACCAATACACTAATATTAAGGATCTAGATATAGAAGAAACAGTAGTAAATAGTAGAATAAATAGAAATATGTAATGTATACATTTGTAATATCCTTGTATATAAAACCTATGTATTTTTTATTGAATAAAAATTAAAAAAAAAAAAAAATTAAAAGACGGATGCCGACCACAGCCATTGGCGAGAAAGGGGCCAATGGACTGTTTTGTGAAATAGTAAGTTATACATTTCACAACACAGCTTCCTAGCTGATTTCTTAATAAAATAATGGAATGGAGGTCGGAGAGAGAGAGAGGAGAGAGAGGGGGGAGGGGAGGGAGAGGGTGAGAGAGAGAGAGACTAATGAAGCTAAAAGAGATAAAGAACCATTCAAGACAATCCCTACCCTTCCCTCCTCTCTCCCCCCTCCTTCATCCCCCTCCACCTCCCTCCTCCCTCCCCCTCTCCCCCTCCCCCTTCCCCATCTGCTCGCCATCTCCAGTTCCTTTTGTCTCACGAGTTCGTCTCAAGGTCTATCACCTGATGGGATCTCGTTCATTCTACGAGGACGAAAAATACAAAAAAGTGTGAATTAAACGTTTTATACCTCGGAAGAATAGAGGGAATACACCGACACAAGTGAACGTATAGAGGGGGGGGAGGGGAGTGATGAATAGCTCTTATGTGCCAGCTGATAAAAAAGAGGGTATTTAACCGCCTCTCTCAACAGTGTACAAAACCAGCGATCATGAACGAAGAGAACAAAGATCCCCCAACCCCCCCCATACCCCATCCTCCAGAAGTAAACCGTAAAAGGTACTCGGGAGGTTACAAAAGGTCAGAAAAGGTCACGGAAAGTTCACGATCTCCGAAAACAACAGCCGGGTGAACCGTAACCATCCATTACCAATAACAATGTCATTCAACCGCTTCTTGTTATCGGAAACTGCAATCTGAGAGATGCCTTCGGGCTGCCTTCGAGCCGGGAATAAGGCAGGCGTCTTCAGAAGGTCGCTAGCTACGTGTAGGAGGAGGAGGTGGGGAAAAAAATGGTAAATCTTGGAAGCCGAGAAAGGGGCAGTGGATATACTCTCGGGAGGGAATGGCAGACGGGCGGGCGGGCAAAAAGTGTGCGTGGACTGGCGACAAACAGGGCAGCTTAACCCCCCCAAACCCAACCCCCACCCCACGCCTACATCTCTAGCTTCCTTCCCCCCCACACCCCTCGCCCACTTTCCTTGACCTTCCGCCCACCTCCACCTCCACCCCCTCGGCCTCCTGTAGCTCCCCCTCGGCCTCCTCCTCCACCTCCCGCTCCCTCTCCCCCCCTTTCTCCTCCAACACCCCCTCCCCTCTCCACCTTCCCCTCCTCCTCCCCCTCCCTACTCTCCACCCCCCTCCCTTCTCCTCCACCACCCCACCCCCACCACCCACGCCCCCTCCACCTCCCGTGACCTCCCTCCCGACAGCCAAAGTGTCTCGGGCGCCCCGGGAAGACAGCTCAGGCGAGGACGGAGGGCGACAGGTACAAACAGGAGCCTCAAGAATTAACGGAAGATGCCCTTGACACACGCCCTTCCCCGCCCCCCCTCTGGTACTCTATCGCTCCGCCCTTGACACTTTTCTCATGAGTTTGGCGTCGGCCCTGATCTCGCCTCACGTGCCGCCTCTCCTTTCGTCTCGGGAAGGCGCTCCGGTTCGACTTCCTTGGACGGGCGCTGAGGTGAGCTTCCTTGTGGGTCTGTTTTTTTTTTTTCTTTCTTTTTTCTTTGCTCTCTTTCTTTACCTTTTTCTCATTCGTCTATCTCTTCTTTCTTTCTTTTTTTCTTTTCTTCTTTCCTCTTTTTTTCTTTTCTTTTTTTTATTTTTTTATTTTCTTTTTTTCTCTTTTACCTTTTTTCTTTGCTGCCTTTCTCCTCCTTTTACTTCTTTTCGCCTTTTCCTCCTTCCTATTTCCTTCTTCCTTCTTTTTCCTCACTGAATCTTTTTATTCTCCCTCTTTCCTTTCCTTCTTTTATACTTTATCTACCCCTTTTTCCTCTCCCTTTCGTCCTCCCGTACATTATCTACATTCATTTCTCCCCCTTTCCTTCCTCAACCTTCTTCCTCCTCCTCCTCCTCCTCCTTATCATCATCATCATCATCATCATCATCATCATCATCATCATCATCATCCTCATCATCATCATCATCATCATCATCATCCTCATCCTCATCATCATCATCATCATCATCATCATCCTCATCCTCATCATCATCATCATCATCATCATCATCATCCCTCTTCTCCCCTCTACCCCTCCCTCCTATTCCCCCTCTCTCCTCCCCCTTCCATCCTCCCTCATTCTATCTCACTCTATTTCCCCCCCTTTCCTCCTCCCCTTTCCCCCCATCCCCCCTCATTCTATCTCTGTCCCTCCTTGCCTCCCTTCTTTCCCTCCCTTCCCCACTACTTCCCCTCCCTTCCTCCCGCCTCCCCCACCACTTCCCCTCCCTTCCTCCCCTCCTCCCCATACCACTTCACCCTTCCTCCCCCCCCACTTCCCCTCCCTTCCTCCCCTCCTCCCCACCACTTCCCCTCCCTTCCTCCCCTCCTCCCCCACCACTTCCCCTCCCTTCCTCCCCTCCTCCCCATACCACTTCACCCTTCCTCCCCCCCACTTCCCCTCCCTTCCTCCCCTCCTCCCCACCACTTCCCCTCCCTTCCTCCCCTCCTCCCCACCACTTCCCCTCCTTTCCTCCCCTCCTCCCCATACCACTTCACCCTTCCTCCCCTACCACTTCCCCTCCCTTCCTCCCCCCCGCTTCTTCCTCGAAATCGGTGCCATGACACCTCCACTTGGCACGAAATACGAAGCAGAGTGAAGATGTTAAGACCTTCCATGGGCGTGAGAGAAGAGAGGGCGGGGGGGGGGGGGGGTGGAACCAGGGGGGAGGGGGAGGGAAGGGAAGGGAGGGGAGAGACGAGAGGGCGGGGGTGGGTGGAACCAGGGGGGGGGAGGGGAGAGACGAGAGGGCGGGGGTGGAACCAGGGGGGAAGGGGAGGGAAGGGAAGGGAAGGGCGTGACTCCCGGTAATTTGGGCGTGACGGGGCGCTGTTACGTTGAAAGAACATCTCGGAGAACAAAAAAACAAAAAAGAGAACAGGGCATGAACTACCCATTGAGTACAAAAGCGGTACATATGGTGCGGCTGAACACTCGAAGGTCTGTGTGTTTGCTTATCTGTATACGTTTGTCTGTCTATGTTAATCTATATCTTTCAATATATGTCTGTCTATATTTTTATCTGTGTCTACTTATGTCTGTCTGTCTCTATATATCTATGTATATCCTTCTATATCTATCTATCAGTCTATGTCTGTCTGTCTATCTGTGCCTATCTGTTTATCTATCTATCAGTGTTTGTCTATCTACCAGTGTTTATCTATCTATCAGTGTTTATCTATCTATCAGTGTTTATCTATGTCTATCTATCTGTCAGTCTCTATATCTATCAGTGTCTATCCGTTGCCATTCCATTCAATAATCGTCCCCCCCCCCCCCCCCCCGTCGCGTGTGGGAAAACCCTCGCTAATTGTGGGATTGTGTCCCTCGACTGGCGAATCACACAATGAAGCCATCTCTCCTCGGTGATTTCCCGGCGCGAAAAAGCTGTTGTGATGATTGAAACGGTTGTTATTGACGAGAATTTGGCGCGAGAGAAAACAGAATGACGGAGAAAAGTAAACACTGGTTTTGTGATGAACAGAGAGGTAAAAGGTGGAAATCCGGTGTTATTGTCTGGATGTAGTGCGGTTTCTTGGCTGTTGGGAGGTCTGGTTCGAGGCTTCGGTGTTTCGGTTTCGATGTTTCGGTTTCTTTCTTTCGTTCTCTTTTCTTTTTCTTTCGTTCTTTCTTACTCTCTCTTTTTCTCTTTCTCTTTTTCTCTTTCTTTTTTCTCTCTCTCTTTCTCTCTTTCTCTTTCTTTCTCTCTTTCTCTTTCTCTCTTTCTCTGTCTGTTTGTCTCTCTCTCTCTCTTAATTTCTTTATCTATCTATCTATCTATCTATCTATCTCAATTTGTTTGTCTGTCTATATCTATATAAATCATATTCATAACCATGACTTATATAATTATATAATTACATAATTATTCATAAACAATACATAATTACCACACTATATACATCACGATGGCATGACAAACACCCTTTCGAATTATCTCAGAATTTCCAAATGAATCACAGCAGCTAATTACCTCATCATCATTTGCCTATTTCAACCCCCCCCCCTTCACAATTTTGATTTACCCCCCTCCCCCCCTTCCTCAATTCCCATTTAATCTGCCAATTTTTTAAACTCATTTTCTTATTTTTTCTCTCTTTTCAGAATATTCCGCACAAGATTTTCATGTAAAATAAAGGTAAGTTCTATTTGACGTTCATACGGAGAATAGGGGGGGAAGGGGGGAGGGTGAATGGGAGAATGGGAGGGAGGGAGAGGAAGGGATGTTATTAATGGTCATCACGTTCGGATTAAGCCCATTAACACGGCCGCCCCCCATTAGCATATATCTCGTAATAGAGCCATTTTTTTTTTACTTTTTTTTTTTTTATTTCGAGGTCGTTCGGTTGGTCGGGTACAAGCCATTGTTTTCTTAGGGTGGGGGGTGGGGGGAGGGGAGAGGGAGAGGTGAGGGAGGGAAGGGAGGGTGGAGGAGGGAGGGAGGGAGAGGGGAATGGCGAGGGAGGGGGGGGAGGGGGAGAGATGAGGAAGGGGGGGAGGGGGGTGCCTATCGACATCATCGAAGAGGGGGGGAGGAATAAAAGGGGGAGTGGGGGTAGGGGAAGGGGAAGAGGGGGGTGGGGTAAGAATGAGACACGATCTATTTTTTTGGTCGCTTTTTATTAAAGCAAATTCTTTTTCTTTTTTTTCTTTTTTTTCTTTTTTTCGTTCAAGTTAACTGTATAGACTCGATCGCCTTCATTGCTCGTCTTCTTTCTTTTATTTTCGTCTTTTTTTTTCTTCACGTCTTTGTCTTTACATCCACTTTCGCTTATTTCATTTCTTTCTCTCTCTTCTTCTTCTTCTTCTTTTTAATTCATCTAATTATATAATTCTCATTTCTTTTAATCGAGTCATGAATGACACTTTATTTTTTTGAAAAGACTTTGAGAAAAAAAAATAGTATTTCAGATCAATTCATTATTTCCCAGTTATTATCGTTCGTTTAGAGGTGGGGGAAGGGAGGGAGGGGGAGGAGGGGTGTTTCCTGTCTTTTTGTTTTTTTTTTTTTTTTGTCAAATTCTTTTCTTTGGTTAACGGTATATGCTTGCTCTTCTTCATTGTTCATCTTCAATTTATTTTCTCTCTCTCTCTATCTCTTTTGTTTTTTTGCATTTCTCTGTCCGTTTTCGTTTTTTTTTTTGTTTTTTTTAGTTGCGTTGCTTGCTTTTTTATCCTTTTTATTCTTTATTATCCTTCTATGCTTTTTTTCTTGCACGAATCCTTTCCCTTTTTAGTTGTTGATTTTTTTTTCATTATAATCCTTCCATTTTTGTGTTTCTTTTCTCGCTTTTCAGTAGTTTTTTTTATCTATTTATATTTATCCTTCCATTTGTGTGTTTCTCTTTTTTTAATTCTTTTCCTCTACGTCCATTTTCGCTTTTAAGTTGTTTGTTTTTCTTTCTTTTTTTTTTCTTCCTTTTAATCCTACCATTTATGTGTTTCTCTCTCTCTCTCTCTCTCTCTCTGTCTCTCTGTCTCTCTCTCTCTCTCTCTCTCTCTCTCTCTCTCTCTCTCTCTCTCTCTCTCTCTCTCTCTCTCTCTCTCTCTCTCTCTCTGTCTCTCTGTCTCTCTCTCTACCCCCCCCCCCCTCTCTCTCTTATCCTTCTTTTTTATGAGAATTGTGCTTTTATCTCCATTTCAAATGTCTTAGTATTCGATATGAATTTGTTTTAATCTAAAGTGATTTTTTTATTGTCCCGTCTTCTTTCATTACGTATCCTTTGATATCTTTTTCTCTTTCTCTTATCTCTCTCTCTTTATTTCTGTAAGTATTGTCATTTCAAATAATTCTTGTATGATTCACTATAAATTATTTTTCGTCTTGCTCACTGAACCCTTTTAAGTATGTTGTTTATTATGTTTCATGAAATTGTATAATTTCTTTAATACAGAACTGACAATTAGTTATTTAGTCCATGTATATGAAAAAATCACATTTGCATACTGAGAGTTTTAACGTCTAATTCAATACTTTCAAGATTTTTTTTTCACTTTTTCACATTTATTTTGCAACAATTTCAATTCAAGTGAACACGACAGATATATAGTTAAAAGATATGTTGATTTATATTGCAAGGGATGTGATACTAAGCTTATGAAAAGGAGTTGCATCATAAAGTATATATTCTGAAATTTTAGCAGTTTTTTGCACTGGAGTTTTATTAGTATGAATAGCATTCTGAAGTATATATTCAGAACGTGTAGCTCAGAAGTTTTATGACCGCGAGAGCTTTGAAGTTTTATTGAACACGAGGGTTTCTAAAAAGAGGGGAATTTCGAACTAAATGTAAAAAAAAAAAAAAAAAAAAAAAAAAAAAAAAAAAAAAAACAGCTGTAAAAGAGAGGGAATTCGTTCATCTTAAAAATACGATTCAACTCATGTCGTTTGCATTTAACTCGGCTAATTTCTGAAGAGGGGTCCTGTAGCTCATATTAATTACCGTACTTGGGTCGTGTGTGTCACCCGGTTTGGAATTAAAACGGAGTTTAATGGTTTTTCGTCTCTTTTATTTTACTTTTTTTTTTCTTTTTTTTACTTTTTTTTGCTTTTTGAAGTAATATAATGAGGGTCTTTTGAAGATAGAGGGATGGGGGAGGAGAGAGAGGGAGGGGGAGGGGGGGAAAGGTGACACACACACATACACATACACACACTCCACCACATACACACACGCACCCCCTCCCCCACAAACACACGCACCCTCCCCCCCACAACCACACCCATCACCTCCCCCCACCCCCAACGCACCCCCCCCCCCCCCAAAAAAAAAAAAAACGTACCCCCCCCACACCCACACACACACACACACCCACACAGACAGACAAAGCGAGGGCGAGACGTGACTACCGCCCGAGAGTCGTGACGCGAGGGAGAGAAGTTTGACACGACGGAGAGGAATCCTTTTTTGGGGGGTGGGGGGGGGGCGTTCCTGCGGGAGAGTTGGTCATCGGCGCCCTGGTTGGAGGCTGGTGGAGGAGGGAAGGACTGTTCATGGTTTCTTTTCCCCTATTTTTCTTCTTCGTGTTCTTCTCTTTGTTTTTCTTCGCGTTCGTCTGTGTTTGTGTCTTTTTCTTTTTTCTTTTTCTTTTTTTTTTTCTTTTTCTTCTCTTTCCATTTTTTTCTTCAAATTCTTTTCTTCCTCTTCTTCCTTCTTCTCATTTTCCACCTCCTCCTCCTCCTCTACCTCCACTTCCACCTCCTCCACTTCCTCCCCCTCCTCCACCTCCAACTGCACCTCCACCTCCTCCTCCTCTTCCTCTTCCTCTTCCTCTTCCTTCTCCTCCACCTCCTCCTCCACCTTCCCCTCCACCTCCCCCTCCACCTCCACCTCCACCTCCACCTCCTCCACCTCCAACTTGAGGGAACACTTAACTAAATCTTGAAGGTAGTTGGATATTCCAGACACACTTTCTTGCGTGCGCTACATAATGCACTTAATCAATAAATTCCTGAGTTTGAGTGATGGGTGTCTGACAAACGCCTCATCTTTCGTATATTTTTTTTCTACATCTCTACCTTATTTATCCGTTTTTTTCCTTTCCTTTCTTTCATCATCGTCATTTTTAGTTTCTGTTTATTTTGTCATCTCTCTGTCGCTTCCTTAGTTATTGGGTTTTTTTCCCCTTCCATTGCCCATCGTTATTTTTTTAAATCTCTGTCTATTCCATTCATTATCCATCGATGTTTTGTTTGTTTTTTATCATCATTATCCTTAATCTCCTATTCATCATTTATCACTTTCTCATTCCCTTTCTTTTCCATCCTTTTATCTCCCTATTCATCACTCTCTCCCCTTATTCCTCCTTACGTCTCCTTAACCTCCTATTCCTCCCCCATTTATCATCTATCCTTCTATCTCCCTATTCATCACCCTCTTCCTTATCCCCCCTTTCCACTCCCTTACCTAATTTTCTCTTCCTCTCTCATTATCTCCCTTATTTATCACCCTCTCCCCTTATCCCCCCCCACACACACCTATCCACGCTCGCCCCCAGCACATAGCACTCTCTTGCCCCCTCCCCCCTCCCCCCCTCCCCCCACTCCGAGCGTCATCTCCGCTTCAATCAACAGCGCTTCATAAGTCATTAGGAATCAGCTGTTCAGACGTCGCCGAGATGCAAGAGGCGGGATAATAGAGGGAATTGGAGTTATAGAAGGGAGGGAGGGGGGCGAGGGAAGGGGAGGAGGGGGGAGGAGGAGGTGGAATAGGAAGGAGGAGGGGGTAGGGGGGGTAGAGTTTGGGTTAGTTTATGTGTGTTGTGTGTTTGGGTTGTTTTGATTGGTTGTTTGTTTGGTTGTTTGTTTCTGGTTCTGTTTTTGTCTCTTTATCTATCTATCTATCTCTTTCTCTCTCTTTCTCTCTCTCTTCCTTTCTCTCTCTCTCTCCCTCCCTCCCTCCCTCTCCCTCTCTCTCTATATATATATATATTTCTATCTACCGCTCTGTCTATCTATCCATCTATCTATCTACCTATCTGTCTCACACGCCATGGGTGGGCGTGAGATTCCCCGCCTATCATATCACCTCCTCCCTTCCCGTGGGCGTGGGCGTGAGCCATCTCCTGGTGACCTTCCTTCGTGGGCGTGTCCGAAAGTGGGCGCCTGAGAGAGAGAGGGAGAGGGGGAGAGAGAGAGGGAGAGGGGGAGAGAGAGAGAGGGAGAAGGGGAGAGAGAGAGAGGGAGAGGGGGAGAGAGAGAGGGAGAGGGGGAGAGAAAGAGGGAGAGGGGGAGAGAAAGAGGGAGAGGGGGAGAGAAAGAGGGAGAGGGGGAGAGAGAGAGGGAGAGGGAGAGGGGGAGAGGGAGAGGGAGAGGGGGAGAGAGAGTGGGAAAGGGGGGAGAGAGAGAGGGAGAGGGTGAGAGAGAGAGGGAGAGGGGGAGAGAGAGAGGGAGAGGGGGAGAGAGAGAGGGGGAGAGAGAGAGAGGGAGAGGGGGAGAGAGAGAGGGGGAGAGGGAGAGCGCAAGAGAGAGAGCGCAAGAGACAGAGAGACAGAGAAAGAGAGAGAGAGCAAGAGAGAAAGAGAAAAGGTAGGGCGGTCTTTAACAGCCTGATTAATACGAGACGGAATTCTTTATAGGTCTACGATTAAATCTGCCGTGATTAAGCGGCTCTTGTCATTTGGCATTAGTCATGGGTG